TTGGCCATATTCAACCTCATCCCATTGGTCTTGCCGCACAAGTTGGATTTTTCCAAAAATCCTCCGTTGGCATCCAACTGTGCTCCCACCTGCAATTCCCATCAACTTCAACAACACAGATCCCATTTCCTGTGTTTTTGTTTCTTTAGTTCAAAAGAGCAATAATTAGGAAAGCTTCGTTTTGGCTACAAAGCCAAACTACGGTACCAACCCGTGCCATTGCTCCTGGCAAGGAACAGCGGGTGAATGCAGGTGGAGATTTGGGCAGAAGCGGATGGTAACGCTTGGGGAAGAGGGCGGCTGGCATGTTTGGGTTTGTTCCCCACATCTGAGCAGGGCTGTAGCCTAGGGCTCGCATTCTGATCTTGCTTGTACTGGTGGAGTTCAGATGCAGCAATGCTGATTCATTGGCCTCTGGGGTTTAAAAGGTGCTTGCAGTTCCTTAATCAAAGGCTGCGGCTAAGAAGGGTTGTGCAGGAGCTGGAAATGCCAAGCAGTGCAGGGAAATGCGCATCTACGAGGAAGGGCGAAGCCCTAACAACCTTCCTCTGTTCTTGTTTAGCGATTTCTTATCAGCGTATCTGGAAGCACACTCTAAAGGTGGGTAAATAACCATCTGCCTCTGTGGATCAGCAGCCCGGGGCACAGACGGTGACACGATTTGCCTGAGGCCAGCTCCGTGGCAGAGGCAGATGATGGAGACTCTGCCTCTCCGTACCTTTTCTCTCCATTTCAGACTCTGACCCATTTTGCGACCTCAGGAACGCAACATCCTCCAAGTCTGTTGAAAGTAAATCTGTTTTTATTCTAATATTATTGGCAGGAGTTACATCAAGGTGTTACGTAGGTCTGCTGTTACTCCAAGGATCAAATACTTGGCTGGATGTTACTGTTCGTTATTTTACAGCATCGTAAATACAAAAACTTTACAAATCAGAGAAGGCCTAAGCATTACAACGTACAGTGAGCACTCAGGACACAGGATTTGCTGCAGCGAAGGCATGGTGTCTGCAGTAGTGCCCGAGCACTCAGCTCCAAGACCAATCAGACCCTGGAAACTTCACATTTTTGGCAAATATGCCAGAAATGAAGAGAAAATGATAAGATAAGATAAGAAAAGAAAAACCTTTGCTGCAGGGTTACATCCTCTCCTTGCGTAGCCATCTGCTGTTTGTAACATGGACCGAGCGCTGAACTGCTGCCACAAGAAGCCACACGCTGCCTAACAGAGACAGAAAGCAAGCTGGGACAACAGTTTGGGCTTCAGAAGCCAAGGAAACACCCATGGAGCCATCAGTTTAACTTGGTTTTCTGGAGGAAGAGGCTTGTGAGGAGAGATTTGCAATAGCAGGGAATGCTGCCAATGAGTATTTTGGGTGGGATTTATTCCCCACCTAACTTTTAACAGCTCAAAAGTTCTCTTTCTTAACCTAAATTAGTAAGTGTGAATAACACGCAATGAATGAATCCTAAGATATATGAGATAATTGCCATCTGCAAGTTCTGATTTCAGCCGATCTCAAGAGGTGACCAGCGTAGACTTCACTTGCTCTTAAGCCATGGTGTTGTCTGAGATGAATTCCCCATTCTAAGCATCCAGAGCAACTAGAAATGTGTGCCTGGTGCCTTATCTTGACAAGGATTAATATCTCTCATGCCAAAAACCTTGAAACCCTCAAGGGACACAGTGCAGAATAATCTGCTCACAGAGCAGAAGTCTTCTCGAAGACTTCTAATTAATGAATTATTAGAAGTCTTCTAATTCTTGTTGATCAGTAGCTGGCATGTTCTCTGAAACTTGATTTCTAGCCTAGAAATGGTGAGAATTGAGGGCCATACTGTGACTCTCCTTGACATGTGGAAAGGTTTTGTTTTAGCCCAGCTCTCTCACTCTGGGATATGAAAAGGCGACGGGTTACAGTCGCTGTGCATTCAGTCCCCTTATCCTTAAAAACTGCTATTTGTTCCATTTACAGGCTATTTCCTTAATTGTGGAAAAGACAAAGAAGAGCACATAATTTATAGTCTCTTAAATAATTAGACTTGTGCCAGCTCCCCACACAAAGCCGGCTGCGATGCTCTAATCCAGAGTGAGGGATCTGATTTCCTTCTCACTATCACCTTCTCACTAACATGACTGAAAAGATGGGAGCTGCCTTGTTTAACATGAGAAAGAAATTCTGTCTGCGATACAACCCTACCTGGGTTTTTCTTGAAGTGTTTTCCCCGAGCCTCCTTTCTTCCACATATTAAAGGCATTTTTACCCTTGAAAGCTGTGGGAGAGCATCACAGAGCAGCTGAGGCCATGGGCTATGCTCCACGATGTCCAGCAGCTCTAGCAAGGATCTATGCAGGTGTCTCCATGGTCAAAAAGCCTGGGTGAAGTCTGCAGAGACGACGTTCCCAGAAGAAAAAGAGAATATAGCACCAGCTTGAGAGCAGCAGCGACAGGAAACCAGGCTGAGAAGAACAACAGGAAAACGGTCTTGGACTGTGCTCTGGTTTGGAAACTGAAGATCCCACCTGGAGATCCCAAAGGCAGGCAGGAGTCATTGCACCAAGTCCGGTACTTCCAAAAATAAAGTATAAAGCCATTGCTCCGGTACCTTTCTATCAAAACTGGCTGCAAGGCAGTTAAGATTTCTTCTGGACAGCCTAAATGAGAATAAATGCAGGACCTCCATGCCCATTTCTGTGCATTTTGTGGTGAGGTCAATGAATGAAGTCTTTTCTAGCAACAGTGGAAATAAAATTAAGCTGGGTCCTTATGAAGGACTCAGAAGCAGCTGTTTTTCATCAAGCACAGCCTGTGACTCAGGTAACATTGCTGGTGTTTCCCCAGTGCCAGGCAGAGAGGTTTCTGTTCTTCTGGGATGAAAAATACTCTGGGTCGTCCCTTACTCTGTGTCAGATCCTTGGTCAGATGGAGGAATGTGCCAGGGCCGAGCCTCAAACAGTGGAGATGCTAGATGAAAGAGAAAGAAGGTAAAGCTGAGATTAATTTAGCCAGAGGATTCAGATTCTAAACATATTTAGGTACTCAGCCAATCCTTGGGATTTTGGTAGCATTTAATACCTCCAATACCTTTATAAATCTGGATTGAATGGAAAGTCGGTTTCTATTCATCATCTCATTATAGAGAATATAAGCATTCATCAAAACACCTTTATTTTTCCTGCCCACCTTTCTGATAACCTGCAAACGTGCCCTGGTAACGCCCAGCTGGAGCACTCCCTAAAGTTGGTTCATTTACCTTGGGAAAAGCCTGGCAGAGATCACAAAGGTCCAGGAGAGGTCACTGAAGGAATTAAGATAGGATTTGTCTCTCCGATACAAACCAAAATAATATCGTTTTGCTTTGCAAATTGCCCCTAATCCCAGTGCAATCCCTCAGGGATAATTTACCTTGGTAGATTTACACTACAGCAATGGTGTTTGTAGGTGGCTTGATTCCACACGCTCCCTAACCCTTTCCTCATGCACAGGTTTTAGATTTTTAATCATGCAGCAGAGCTCAGGATGCTGCACGTCCTCGTGTGCACCATTCTCCTCCACCAGTACAGCATCAATAATCACTGGGTGGCCACATCCCTGTAGGAGCTCCCCTTGCTCCATCCCCCACATCCTCTTTGACAACACTAAAGCTCACCTCGACAGCCGCTGAGGTTGACAGAAGTTAAGAACCTTAAGAAACACCTTCTTCCCATTCCCAGTGCCTCCGGGACGGCAGCAATCGGAGCCGAGTGCCACATTCCTGGGAGGCCACACCACTGCGAAATGCCTTCAACTGACTGGGACAACCAATAACTCAGCCAAGGCCCAGAGCCTACACTTAACTCTTCGTGACGTGCCTCCAGTCCAGCGTACAACCTTCCTAAGGCTCTGTCCAGGCAATGTGAACTCAGGATGAGGGTCCTGTTTTATAGAAACTTTGTATTGCTTTAGAAATATGTGGCACTGTAACCCCCCAGCCTAACCTTGATGTTTTCCTCTCTTGGCTTTTATGACTGGGATGCATTTATGTATTGTGTCCTACATGAAGCAATCTTCCTTGAGCCTCATCTAGCTCATTCCAGTGCTTTCCCCTGTTATCATCCTTCATCTGTGTTTGGATTCTTTCTTTCCTCTCCCACAGGAGGATCTGGAATAGCTCATTTGCACAGTGGGTGTTCCTCATGGGGGTTAGCCCATGCACCTGCTGAAAATGCCAGATCCAAAGGGATGCTGGAGGTCTCCACATGCTTCATTATCTCCCTTCTAGATGGGATCATCACTAATTACTGGATAGTTGCTGCCCTGTAGGAGCTCCCCTCCCTCTACTCCTGTTTTCCCTTTGAAAATCCTAACGATATCACATCAGAGGCCTCTTTTCATTTGTTCACTCCAGGTTCTTCACCCACGACCCTTCTTGTGCTATCAAAAATCATCTGGGGTCACAAATTGCAATTCTTATGTGGACAGCCTGCTCAGGAGCTAATAGGACTTCCACCCCAGTCTGCACAAACGTTGTGTTCTTCTGAAAGATATCCAACACTTTCCCAGCCACCTACAGACATTGAGGACCTTCAGGAGATGCTGGGTATATGAAGAGGTGAAGTCTTCATGAATAGCTGCCCAAGCCAACCCTAGACTGAAATAGCATAAAATTGTGATCGTGTCAGTCTGCCTCCTTATTTTTGGAAGGCATTCACTGATCAGCTGCTTTTTTTCTCCCTGGAGTTGATGGTGTTCTCCTGTAATTTGGTGAATGCTCTGATTTCAACCCAACCACACCAGCGCCTCCTGGCATCTATCCAGGACCTGGAAGAGTCCATGGACTTTGGACTGAGCCCACTGCCACTGTGGATCTAAGATCTCTTGCTCTGCCTTTATATTATTATTAGTCATTATTATTACATTAGTATTAGTGAGTTAAACCCACGTGAAGCCCATACCAGTGTCCAATACCAAGATGACAGTCGTGACAGACAGGTGGATCTAGCGAGTGCTAGATGCGACGTCTTTGGCCATACGTTCTCTTTTGATGCAGCAAATCACTGTTGTCTGCATTCTCACCATCCAAAATGACTGCCTTTTCCTTCACTCACAGAAATACACTGCCAGCACCATCTCAGATCACAGAATCACAGGATGGTGGGGGTAGGAAGGGACCTCTGGAGATCATCCAGTCCAACTTCTGCCAGAGCAGGGTCACCCAGAGGAGATCACCCAGGAACACGGCCATGGCTTTGGGTGTCTTCAGAGAAGGAGACTCCACACCTCTCTGGGCAGCCTGGGCCATGCTCTGGCACCCTCACAGTAAAGAAGTTTTTCCTTATGTTGAGGTTGAACCTCCCATGTTTCAGTTTGTGACCGTTGCCCCTTGTCCTGTCGTTGGGCACAGCTGTGAAGAGTCTGGTCCCATCCTGAAACCACCCTTTAGATATTTATAAGCATTAATGAGATTCCCCCTCAGTCTCCTCCAGTCTAAAGAGGCTCTCTCCTTCCCTCTGCATGCTATGTTTGAATATTGGCATTCTCTACAATAGCATCCACGTGGGACAGGGCAGGATCCTAACACAGAGACCTGGTGTTCATCCTTGTGAAGTCTTTCTTACCTCTTTCACGTGGCTTTGGCACTGGAGCTCGAACAGGCGCTGGTCGTATCCCGGCGTTCCACTGGGAGCTCTGGGTCAGGATCTTCACTGCTGCTTTGGAGGGCAGGTTCCCAGTTGACTGGTGAGTGGCCCAGCTGGGACGAACTGGTGTTTTTGGAACAGACTCAAGATCTGCAGAAAGCGAGAGCTAGGAAGAGAAGGCAGAAAGTATCAGATCATCCCAACAGCTTCAGAGGGACTGAAAATGTTGGAGTCTATTGAGAACTTCTATAAATTCTGCACATTCTGTATATATCCTATAAATTATACTCCTAAATGATATCCCTAAATGATACAAGCATAATCTGTATTATTTGCAGTGACCCGTGCTCTGGTATAAGTCTACCTTAAGGACAAAAGGACCCAATTAGAAATTGATGCTCGGAAAGCCAAAGCCACATTAATTGATTCTCCACATCAATTCATATGTTAATGCACAAATTCTTCCCCCGTGCATATGGTGACTGATCTCAGGCTTGCTTGCTGTTTGAAGTCTCGCAGTGTAAAGGATGAAGTTTCTTTTAATACACTGTTCAGTAAGCATTTGACTAAACAGGATAAAAATTAAGCAGAGTAAAATCTTAGCCACACTGTGATTGCTTATTCCTTGAGAAAGATCCCAAATATTCACAAAGCACAGGTTCTGCACAGCAACAGCTTTGGCTTTTTGTGAACTGATACCAATTATTTATTAAGAATAGTGAGCAAACATTAACAAACCCAAACATTTACATAGCAACTCATTAAAAAGCAATGTGGGCAGATCGTCTTATGTGAAACTAACGTCCACAGTAACATGGCTGTGCAGAAAAGTCAATGCTGTGCTGTAATTCCTGCTCCCCTGGTTCCTCCTTTCATTCTTTGAACTGGCAGCGGTGGCAGATATATGGTGCTTCATGCCCAATTGTCTAGTTATAAATAAGCAATCCAGCAACTGCTGAATATCAACCTAAAGAAAGGCCAGTGATTATAAAACTGCTGAAAGCAGTCCAGGATCTGAGCAGTGCTTGACGTGGGACAGAGATGTTGTGATAAAAGCTGCTGCAGTTTTTCTGTCCTGGTGAGAAAAGCACAATAGCATCAAAGCAGTAGTACCTGCAGCCCAGATTTGCATGTTCCCTGCTTTTCATCTCCTGTGTTGGTGGTGGGTCAGTTTGAGAGTTCATAGGGACAGACAGGCATAGCCACTTTAAAATTAGAGTGACATATATAAGCAGAGTTTGAATATGCAAACATCATATGGAGTTCTTTTCACTCTTAGGTATAGTCCCATGAAGTTCAACAGGGTTTCTTATGTGAATAAATAAAATTCAAAACAATGTTTGCAGAATATAAAGATATACTGGACAGGACCGTGTCTCAGTGCTGAGAGCCCTGGATCTCCATGTGGGCTATACCCACACAGTAATAAATGTGAATCACACTCAAAACATCAATTCCCCATCAATACGCCATAGGCAAATTTACCCCTGGCTTCAAATGCCGCAATCTCATTACCTTAGGATGTAGGCAGTGAGGCAAGAATGACTGATCCTGTCAAAAAGATGTTATTTAGTAAGTTCTAAAAATCAGCAATTCAGGAACAGCTGGGAGGGTGGAGCAGTCCCTCGACCAGAAACAAGCAGAGAGCCCGAGAGGCAAAACCAGCCCCTAATTGCTGACATTGCAGTCATTTGCAAAGCTGTCAAATACATCAATCGAACGTTACCTTCCTAATAAAGTCTCTGCGAATTTTGACATGTGGGTATGCGGCTGCCTGTTTTTCGAGAAGCTGCAGAATTCTCCTCAAGGACTTGTGGAAAGGACGCTGGATTCTGGAGCGTGTTCAGAGAAGAACCACAAGGATGGGGAGGGCTCTGGAGAACAAGCCTGATGAGGAGCGGCTGAGGGAACTGGGCTTGTTTAGCCTGGAGAAGAGAAGGCTGAGGGGAGACCTCAGCACCACCTACAACTGCCTCAAGGGAGGTTGTGGAGAGGTGGGTGCTGGGCTCTTCTCCCAGGTGATGGGGGATAGAACAAGGGGAAACGGCACCAAGCTGTGCCAAGGGAGGTTCAGGTTAGAGATAAGGAGGAAGTTCTTTCCTGAGAGGGTCGTCAGAAGCTGGCACAGGCTGCCCAGGGAGGTGGTGGAGTCACCATCCCTGGATGTGTTTAAAGAGCGGGTAGATGAGGTACTTAAGGATATGGTTTAGTGGGTAGACAGGAACGGTTGGACATGATGATCTCAGAGGTCTTTTCCAACCAAGCAATTCTGTGATTCTGTGTGAGTGATGCTGATGTGGCAGCAGTGACGCCTGCCAAGGGATCTGTAGGGCCGGAGCTCAAAAACCACACCAGGGCAGCGCAGCTCCACGTCAGAAGGGACACAAGGGATGATCAGTGGCCCAAAACAGAGATCTGGTTTCCACGCCCAGCCTGGTAAAAGCTTGGAGATGTCACCAAACCCGTTGCCTCCTTCTGAAGGCATCAAGGTGGTACAGACAAGCCATGAAGCTTGAGATGGTTAACACCGAACCGAACCGTTTCCAGGCACTTCCCTGGATAAAGACAGAGCAGGTATTTCCTCCCTGCTTTAGACACATGGGGGTTGCATGTGCTTCCAGAAGAAAGAATGTGGCCCTTCATTCAGAGACCTAATTAACTTAATGTATTGTAATTTACTATTTAGTGTAATTTAGCTAATTTACTTTAATTTATTCTAAATTAAGTGTAAGCCTGGTCACATTTTATGCTCCTGTTTCCACGATTACTAATAAACTCCAAAAACCTCCCAATTTTCCTAGGAGGAGAACTGATTCACTGCATGCAAATGTGGAGCCAGTGGATGTAATCCCAGGACTCAGGTCATCACCTTAATTATGTGTTTCTTCTATTTTGGGATGGTGGTGTTCAGCCTCCTGAGCTTGGAGCTCCATATAATAGCCCTTTTCACGTCTTCATTGTTGGCTGTAATATTCTTTATTCTCACCTACTTTCTGCACTCGGATCATTGATCTATTTAAAAGCTTCATTTTAATTTGACTCGATGTTTGCTTGCTTGGGGCGCTTATTCTTTCATCATAGTCTGTTGGTCTTCTAAGGATTTGAGCATTAAGCCTCTTTATTTGGACTTGATTAAATAAGAGTCTTTTCACAGGTCTTCATTTCAACAAAGTTTCCCAATGCTACTCTAATAATAAATGGAAATTAATTTTGGATTATTCCTAGGGAGTTACACATAGATATATATTCTTTTTCTATGCATCAGCCTACCGTAACCTAACCTTTATTGTCATGTAGTATTGTAGTCATTAATGGCCAGGCTTATACATCAGAGAATAAGAAACACAGCTCTTCTACTGAAATTTGGACAACTCAACTCGAGAGCAATACAAGCCTATTTTCAACATAGGAAAGAGGGACACGGCAACACAGGCTACCCCAGATTTTTAACAAAAACAGAAACCAGAGCTACCAAGATTTCAAGGCACAAAGGCACAGAGCTCTGTTCTGGGCTGATGACACCAAGGTGTAACCCCATGGACACTTATTCCTGGGTTAGGCTGCCTAGGAGGGACCAAGGGAGGATGTAGGACCTGCTTGGGCAGCAGGCAGTGGCTTTAAGAAGCTTCCCAGGGCTTTTCTGGGGGTGAAAATTCAGTATCCGCTAACTCTGTGTGCTCCCCCAGACATCTGTCTCTGAGCATTTTGTGTCAGCTAAATGCTTTCTGGTGAATATTTACTACAGGGATAATAATGTACCTTTGAAACCATGAGCAGCCAACACACACACACACACTGTTCAACCCTGCCCTGCTGCAATTTGTAGCAAAAACTCCCACTGACAATGTGGAGGAGGGTTTGGACTTCATGGTGGGAGTCAGATGAGGTGCTTGTGCCTTCCTGATTATGGGTTGCAGGTTAAGTAATTTTGAAGAACACATAACTTTCCTAAAATCTGGGGCAAGAAGATCAAATTCACCTCTTTTTACCCTGAACTAAGATTCTTTCACTTCAGGACTGCCAATAAAACAGCTTTACATTTGAAACTGGAAGCTATGGTGGAAGGAAACCACGTAAGGGTGCTCTGATCTAAGGGCTACAGAGGAAGCCATTGGAGAATGGAAATTGTAAGACACAGGCTGAATAACTTTAATTATATTTTCTGTTCTTTAGCACTGACTGAATCTATTTCCTTGCAAACAGGCTGTATTTGGGTCAGGAGAATGCCTCCCAATCTCAGGAGACAATGCCTCTCTTTTATGTAAACCTTCTTTAGCTCAACTCACATACGTTCCCCGGCTTTCATCGCTTGGGAAACACGCTTCCAGGTCTGCAAAAAACCCCGCTACGCTTGTGAGCACGTCCTTCTTCCGGCAGTTATTTGTTGCCGTATCTACAAAAGCTTAGAGCCACGATGCTTTCTGGAAGCCTGACTTCCCCAGACTCCTTTCATAGGACGATGCCCTATTTTACCAGCGACGAGCACAATGAATCCTCAGTATTAAGACCTTGGAGCTGCTTGCTCAGGCTGAGTGCAATGAAGAGAGAATAAACCAACATCCAACTGCCATGATCAAAAGTTGCGAGCACAGAAGAGAAGCTTTGGGAAGATGCAAGTGTCCTAAAAGAATTGATCTGATGCTTTGTAAAGCGTGGAAATGGGCTGCAGGGATCCTGTGCAAAGTACAGGATGAGTGGATAGGAAGGTCACTGTCTACATACAGGCAGTTGCTGTCTTTTTTGCACTGAAGGGCTATGTCAGGGCTGCAATGAGAGATTGCCACCAGAACAGCCAGACATGGGGTGCTTTGTGTCCTCCTTCAGCCCAGGTAGGGCAACGGAGCTGGTGAAGGGTCTGGAGTCTTATGAGGAGTGGCTGAGGGAACTGAGGGGGTTCAGTCTGAAGAAGAGTCGTCTGAGGAGAGACCTTATCCCCTCTACAGCTCCCTGAAAGGAGGTTGGTGTTGGTCTCTTCTCTCAAGTAACAAGCGATGGGACAAGAGGAAGTGGCCTCAAGTTGCACTGGCAGAGGGTTAGATTGGATATTATGAATAATTTCTTTACTGAAAAAGTGGTCAAGCACTGGAAGGGGTTGACAAGGGCAGTGGTGGAGTCACCATCCCTGGAGGGGTTCAAAAAACGTGTGGATGTGGCATTCTGGGACATGGTTTAGTGGCCATGGTGGGGGTTGGGTTGATGGTTGGACTCGATGATCTTAGAGGGCTTTTCCAACCTTAATGATTCTGTGATTTGATGTCCCTTAGGGACAGGCAGCAAACGTGCCCAGCAGCCTACTTCTAGCAGGAGCAAAGCTGTGCAGTTACCAAAGTTAAGTCAAAGCTTGGAGTCGAAATGTTCCTGGATGTACCTGTACCTGTACCTTGATAGAATTACACCAGTGATACTTGCCAGTGATTTTGCCTTCTGGAGCTTCTCAGATCCATGACCTGCTCTCTTCTTTCTCTCAGCTGCCTGGCGGCTAAGGTCTGGGGTCTCTCTTCCTCCTTTCCTTCTCCTACAGAGTACAAGGGAATAGTATTAACTGTTAAGTGCTATGGAGTTGGTTCCTTGGGGTTGAGAAAAAGAAAATCCTTTATGATATTGCCACCCAAAAATACATGGTTTAAGAGAATATATTTTATCTTGTATCTGGGGCACAGCAAAAGTGCACAAACAGCTCCCATGGCTCAGAGGAGTGTGGTAACTTGCTCATTTTTAAGTTGTAATAACTTTATAGCACTCAAGTGCGTGCCTTTAGCTCAAGACTTAATCCATGCTAAATCCATGTAACTGCTGTTACATCAGCTTAGGGGAATTCACAGAAAAGCAAGTTGAGCTAAATCAGTTTGAACGTTTTTGGTGAAGTCCATGTAACTTGTAACAGAAAGAAGGCTAAAGGGCTGCCCTTCTAATAAATTACTTATTCATTGTTTTTATAACCAAATACTTGTGTATGTTTATGTATATGTGTATGTATATGTATATACATTTATATGCAGCTGTTATTCAATACTGGCAGAACAGGAATATTCCGGAGTGTGACAATGAAGTGAAGTACGCTGGAATACGGCCAGTTGGCACATTTGTCCAACGTCAGGAGTAAAATCCATACTACGAGGAGGATTTTTGAAGAACTCAGGCAGGTTCCTAAACACATTTGCTCTGAAGGTGTCCATTCCCCTTCCACATTCAAATCCTGCAATACAGAACTAGTGAAATGAAAGCAGCAACTCTACGTGCTCATTTATATGCAGCTGTTATTCAATACTGGCAGAACAGGAATATTCCGGAGTGTGACAATGAAGTGAAGTACGCTGGAATAATTTATATGCAGCTGTTATTTAATACTGGCAGAACAGGAATATTCCAGAGTGTGACAATGAAGTGAAGTACGCTGGAATACGGCCAGTTGGCACATTTGTCCAACGTCAGGAGTAAAATCCATACTACGAGGAGGATTTTTGAAGAACTCAGGCAGGTTCCTAAACACATTTGCTCTGAAGGTGTCCATTCCCCTTCCACATTCAAATCCTGCAATACAGAACTAGTGAATTGAAAGCAGCAACTCTACGTGCTCTCTGGGTTGGTCTCCCAGCTCCATCAGCAGCGTCTCTGGAAGCCATGCTAAAAACCACATTGTGAATATAAATTAATGAACTTAAAGGGTGGAAACAGGTTCTAAAAGCAGCATTTATCCTATAAAGAAACAGGGCCACACCACATAACACGTCCTCAAAAGCAGCCAACACCAGCACAGATCTGTCACTCACTCATCCCAGACCGGCTGCTGATTAAGAACCATAAAGACAAATTACTTCAAATAGCAAATTGAGGAAGACTGCAATCTGTTTCTAAGCACTTCACTAACAGCTGAGAGAGAGAGAAAATTCAATCCAATATATTATTATGGGGAATTAACCGGTCATCTTGGTGGACCTGGCGGTGTTAGGTTAAATGTTGGACTCGATCATCTTAAAGGTCTTTTTCAACCTAAATGTTTCTGTGATCCTTATGTAGAAAGTACACCTGGCCTTGTGGTCATAAATGAAGATGTTAACCTCTACTGCTGGGTTCTGGCGTCCACACTCACGGTGTCACCACCATGAGGTCTCTTCAAGCTCAGGAAAACATAAGCAATGAGGATGAGTTTCTCAAGGCAGCAAAGAGCACCAAAACCGAGATGAGGACAGTGCTGAACTTGATGTTTTTCGCCCCACTTTCCTCCCTTAAGGAACATTTTTAATTCCCACAAGCTTACCAGGCAGGGAGCACTGGGCTGGCTGTTCAGTGACGTGAAAAGCAAGAGGCAAGCATTCGGATTAGGAAGGAAAGCCCAACACCATCCCCTTCTCACGCAAGCCAGCCCCTTTTTTGTCAGAAACTGGGCTCAGGCTGCCGACAGAACAATTACTGAAAGTAATTATTTTCTCGTTGGGTAAACACTCCAGCACAATATGCAACTGTTTTTAGAGACGGCCTATGTCCATAAATTATCCAACTGAATTAGTGCTGGCTTCCAAGAGCCCGAGCTGGTTGCGGAAGCGGGGGAAGGAGCTTGCATTTTGGCGGAGCTGTTGTCACGAGAAGTAGCAGGGCCCTTTCTTGAGGCACAAGGACGCGATCTTGGCGGGGCTCCAGCGCGAGGCTCGAACCGGGATTCATTATTCATGATAAATCTTTTGATTTATTGGCAACAAGCAGCGCAAACACCAGATGCCTCCCAGCAGAACTGTACGTGCATGGACGGAAAGAAGCGCCCTTCCTGGGCCTTTTTTTAGGCAAATCACTGTCCCAGAGTAAACTTGCTAATTTCTTCTGCACTTCAGATAAAAATATCTCATTTCACCTTTGCAATATTGCTTTGTGCCCAAAGAAACAAATCCATCTTTGCTGATCTATGTTTTATTTGTATAGGAACAAAGAGCTACCTGGACAGCTCAGGCAGAAAACAAACCAGACCTACCAGAAATCATCTTTATGATAAAGTGCAGACGTAAACGCAGCGACACCGAAAGCCACAGCTAGAATTCTAGCACGGGATTTCGATAACCCCTTGCAGGCACTTTGTAATTCAAGCCCTGTCGGTATCTCTTCCTTTCTCTACCGCCTCACCACTCCCTCGACTGCACAGCTGATGGCTGCTATTCTTCATTTCACTGCTCAGTGGCTGGGAAGCTTTTCCCACACGATCCCGTCTGCACCAAATAACGTCTCAGCGAACGCGCTCGGGGATCTGCGTCCCAGCTTCACGCTGCAGAGATGTTTGTCACCGAGGCTCTTGGGTGCCGTTCAGGTTTTCTGGTACGAGCTTGAGCCTTTCTGAGCAAGCAGCAAAGAAATCCATCAGAAAAAATAAACAACAGTCAAGTCTCAGTTATCATCCAGATTGCAAATTAACACCTTTCGGCCATTTTTGGGGTTGCTACCCAGTTGCAGCGCAGTGTTACGGTAGTTCTCCCCAGTGACATGAAGTGCCACCACTGTCCAGGCCAAACCCTCACCCAATTGCTCTCCAGAAATCTATTTATTTGTTTTCCAAAGGTAAATACCCACTCATAGTCTTATAGCCCAAACTGTATGTTTTGGTTTACCTCTTTTAGGACTCCCTTTGTCTCTCCTGTATAACTCAAAATTATCCTGTAGCTTGTTATGCTTCCCTTGTTTCCCTTTTTTTGGCTAAGCAAGGGTAAGTTCTCTGCTATGAATTCACAGGAGTGCAGTTTTGATACTGCTGAGGAAAGGAGCACGTAGCTAAGGACTCCTCTCAAAAGACCAACAACGAAACAGCTGACAGCTCTGCCATTTAAATGACAATATTTTGGCTGCAGCGTGGACACCCTGTTAGGATGAACAGGAGAATTCTCACCTCTCTTTGGACCAGAAAGCGAGCGTAGAGTGAGGTCCAGCTCCGAGGAGATTTTAACCAGGTCTAAGAGCCAGGAAAAACTTTATTTTTTCCATTATCTCTTAAATTCTACACAATTTAACCTGACATGAGGCAGATTAATTTGGATTCAAAGAAGCAGCCAGTGATGAGTCTCGCACGTCGCTTTGATGACGGCGTCGGGTCTTCCTTTGATGTCATCTGGTTTATTCGCAGTGAATTTTCTACAAGTCCACTTTTCCTCAGCACAGCAGAACTCACACGGGAAGAGTAGTTTGGTGGCTCCCAGCTTTCCAGGCAATCTGCTGGCCTACGAGAGCTCTCTCCAGTCCTTGCCTTTCAGCATCGCTTCGGCTTTCTGCTGCTTTTCTGCTGGTTCTGCTGCATCTTTTCACACATGCTCAAGACCTCAAGAAAATAGTCCTTCCTATCTATATGCATCCAGACTGCAGCAAAAGCCATTTCCTCTCCCAGACTACCCGTGTGAAACTCTGCATTTTGGGAAATCACTCCTATTGTTTTAAGAATCTCATTTTACATAGATTTCATTACTCCTGACATTCATTTTACATGAAAAGCGGTTGTTATGCCCTTGAGCTCCAAGAATTCATCTAATCTAAAGAATAACCATACCTAACGCAGCCTGGAGGGGCAGAGATTTTTATCTTGGTTCTCTGTTCTCCTTTTCAACCCCGCACACTGGTCAGGCAGGGTCTGCCTGCGCCTGGAGGCTGCAGTGAGGTATAGTTATAGTTCTAGATAATCTTGCATAGCATCCACGTGAGACTCCCCGGCTCAACCGACAAGACATTCCCTCACAGTTGGCTGAGCATGGCCTTCAGCAGCTGCCCAAAACAAAGCTTGGCATCACACTGGGGCACTCTGACCTCTTTGCCACCGTTGATGGGCACCCAACACCTGCCCAACCCGCCTCTACCGAAAGCCTACGCTTGAGGAGCTCTCAAGTGTGAAAGGTGGTCCTGCTGCTCCTACTGCAGACAGGGAGCTGGGGGAAATGCTGAAGACCCAAACCCCAGAAAGCTTTCCAGAAGCAAAGGATGGACGATGCAGTATTTAGAAGGGACATTAGGAAGCATTTCTTTACTGAGAGAGTGGTCAAACGCTGGAACAGGCTTCCTAGAGAGGTGGTTGATGGCCCAAGGCTGGCAGTGTTTAAAAGGACAATATCCTTAACATGCTTTAACTTGGTCAGCCCTGAAGTGGTCAGGCAGTTGGACTGGATGATCATTGTAGGTTGCTTCCAATTGCAAAAGTCCTATTTACTCTACTCTACTCTACTCTACTCTACTCTCTGATTCTGCCCCTCATATAGACCTTTAGCAGGAGGACTTCTGGGAAGGGGCTGCAGAGTGGACTCTGTTGGTAATGTGTCTATGGAAAAGAAGCACCAGAATATGCTGGCCTTCTGGGCTGCAATAAAAGCAGTGTGGCCAGCAGATTGAGGGAGGTGATTCTGCCCCTCTGCTCTGCTCTGGTGAGACCCCCCCTGCAGGGCTATGGCCAGCTTTGGAGTCCCCAACACAAAAAGGACATTGAAGTGCTGGAGCGGGGCCAGAGGAGGCCACAAAGATGATCCAAGGGCTGGAGCAGCTCTGCTATGGAGACAGCTGAGAGAGTTGGGGTTGTTCAGCCTGGAGAAGAGAAGGCTCTGCAGGGACCTTATAGCGACCTTCCAGGACCTGAAAGGTGCCTATAAGAAAGCTGGGGAAGAGCTGTTCACTGGGGCATGGAGCGATAGGACGAGGAGGGATGGTTTTAAACTGGAAGAGAGGAGATTTAGGCTGGATATGAGGAAAAAGCTCTTCCCCATGAGGTGGCAGATCAGTGGCACAGGTTGCCCAGAGAGGTGGTGCAGGCCCCATCCCTGGAGATGTTCAAGGCCAGGCTTGATGGGGCTGTGAGCAACCTGATCTGGTACCAATGTCCCTGCTCAGTGCAGGGTTGGACTAAAGGTCCCTTCCAGCCCAACACATCCTGTGATGCTATGATTCTATAATAAAATTCTATGAGTGGGAAGCTGGGTCAGCACCTGAAACAGCACACCTGCATCGCTGAATAGTCATTACAGATGAGACTACACACTAGCAATTACTTTCAGCTTAAGTGATATTAAAGGGAGATCTTTGATAAACAAGCAAATCTCAAAGAATTCATTTCTTTCCTTATAATCCTCTATAATTACGGATAAATGCCAGATTTGCTGGAACACTCGGCATTGAAATACTCTCCATTGCGCAAATGGATAGAGGCTCAAATCTCACTTAGGAGAAGAAAACAGTCAGCGTGCTCACTGTATCATTAGCAACTCAGAATCATTCAAGCAAATTTCAAAGAATTCATTTCTTTCCTTGCAATAATCCTCTATAATTACGGATAAATGCCAGATTTGCTGGAACACTCGGCATTGAAATACTCTCCATTGCGCAAATGGATAGAGGCTCAAATCTCACTTAGGAGAAGAAAACAGTCAGCGTGCTCACTGTATCATTAGCAACTCAGAATCATTTGCATCTGGTTGTCAGCTGCATCTGCAGCTCAGTGCTGGAAGAATCGACTTTTTAAACTCTTCCAACAAGACTTGTCCCAGTTTTGACACTGGGTCTTGGCCAGCACAAGGGAACCCTAAACGTCACAGAAACCTTTGGGAGCTGCTCCATAGAAATAAGTAGCACAGCTGAAAAATAGTAGCAAGACAGTAATTTGAAATGAGTGGCATTTTGTCAAAAGATTTAGTTAAAAGCCTCAAAGAACTCTACCCGAAAAGGTGCTGGAGTTTGGAAACGTGGCACAAAAAGAGGGTGAGGTGGAAACTGGAAAGCTCTTTGAAGTACTGCAGTATCCTAGGACTAGGGGACGCGGATTAAAAAATGATTCATAAAAGGCTTTTGCTCTGCCACTGGGAACTTTGTGGAACACCCCGGAGGAGCGGTGGGTCCGGCACAGTTAATCACATTGAGAAAGAGCCTATGTGAGTGCGCGACTGTTTAGCCAAATAATCACCCAGCTGGGGTAATTCATGGGCTGATTGTTCCTGTTCACAGGGCTAATCGCAGCTCTGTCAGTTATTTACTTCAAGTACAATCTGGATACTTTCACTGTGGCTCAATCGGTTCCCATGGGGTGGGTTTTTCTGGCACATTGAAGAGGAATCTCCTCCTCTCTGCACATTCGGTTGGGTGAGAGCCTGTGCAGGCCTTTTCACAGGGACTCGCACAGGAACTAGGCAACGGTCAAGCTAATCCATTACCTGTTCACCAAGCTCAGATTAATGACAGTATTGCCAGTTTTACAAGCTACTGCTGTCGTGGTTTAGCCCAGAAAGCAGCTAAACTCCGTGCAGTCGCTCGCTCTCTTCCCCTCTTCCCGATGGGGTTGGGGAGAGACTCAGAAGAGTAAAAGTGAAATAATTCCTTGGGTAAGATAAAGACAATCTAATTAAAATAAACCAAACTGAAAGAATAATAATAATAATAAGGAATTGTCCTGGGTCATCTGTCCCAGAAAACCTCAGGCTTTCTTTTCACCAGGCAAAAATTGAAAACCAGTCCTTGAGTTAGTGTAAACACTACTTGGCAAGGACCAAAACATGGTGCACTATCAATATTCTCCTTACCATGAACCCAAACCAAAGTCTCACCAGCTACTATGAGAAAAATAACTCTCTTCCAGCTGAAGTTGCAATACCAATTTGTTTTCACTAAATCAAACACTGCAATTCTCTCAGAAATGCAGCTCTGCTGAACAGAAAAGGGAATTCTGCGACTCAGTCGCAGTAAAACCAGGACACTGCACATCAGCTGAATTGAGGCAGCTGCTGTGAGCCCATGGAAAGGGAGAGGTGGTATTAACAGAGACTTAAACGAGAAACGGGTCAAACATTTGGTGACTACTGCAGCATCATTGTGATTGCTCCTGCTGATGCTTGTTAATGCCCAGAAATTTGACCATAGATCTAAGATTCTGAAAATATCTGATGCCAGATGTGTCGAAGGAAAACATGGGGCTGACCTAACATAAGTTGATGTGCAAAACTTGGGGTGGAAATGCTTTGCTTTTGCCAGTTGCTGACCAGTCTGAGAACAGATGGATCTGGGCAGTCTATCCCAGGCAGTGTAGATACAAATACTATTAATTACTTAAATATTCTATAGTACATACATACTTTTACACCTTCATTCCCATTCAAACAACTAAATCTCTTTTCAGCCTGAAGATCCCTGAAGTTCTAGAATTATATTTCACTGCAATTAATTCATTCTTCCTCTTCTGTGTAGAAACTGCAGATTCCTCTCAACCTTGCAGCTTTATTTAAAACCTCTTGAATAAACTCTTGTCCTGATTCTTGCAGCCTATTTTATAGGCAGACACTAACAAACTGTGCCCATGCTCTGCGCTGAAAGGTCACAAAGTGCTGCAGCTGCAACTGCAACAGGACCAAAATTAATTCAAGAAAAGCCAATAGAACAGCAAAATGGGTTTCACAAAATCACAGAATCATTAAGGTTGGAAGAGACCTCTAAGATGATCAAGTCCAACCACCAACCCAACCCCACCATGCCCCTAAACCATGTCCCCATGTGCCACATGCAGGTGCTTCTTGAACCCCTCCAGGGATGGGGACTCCACCACCTCCCTGTGTAGCCCCTTCCAGTGCTTGACCACTCTTTCAGTAAAGAAATTTTTCCTAATATCCAATCTAACCCTTCCCTGGAGGTTTTGCAACCAGGCTGCTAAATTTTAAGGCTTCCAGGCAGCTTGAAGCCCAGGCAGAGTGAGCTTGCAGAGGACACAGACATACCCTACGTCGCAGAAAAGGCAAAAGGGAGGACATAGAGCTCTTACATCTGCCTCGCCTGCTCGATGGGATCGTAGTTGTCCAGGTAGTTGAACCGGATGGTGTCTGTAGGATGCCTGTCTGCCGAACGCCATGGTGGGAGCTTCTTTTTCTCCTTGTCTGTCCTCCTTTCTGGCACAGAAGCTTTTGCCTCTAGGATGTTGCTTCTTACTGGTTGTACATCAATAACTACAAATTCATCCTTTGAAGGAGTCTGATAAGAGAGATTAAGAGAAGAAAATAAATTTTAGCCTGTAATGAAAATGAGATTTATTTTGCCTAACTTTAGACTTCTACGAATTGGGTATTAACTCAAAATCAGTCTCTCCAGGCCTCATTATGGTCAGTGGACAGAAATAGGCACCCTGACAATGCTTGTTATCACCCATGTCCCAAAATCTGCATTAAGATGAGCTGAGCTGCTTTTGAGATGCTTTGGCTTTTCTCCATTGACTACAGATAAAGCCTATGGGGGAGTCTGGTTAAAATTAGAGGGCTGAGTTTTGAATTCAGGGCAGAAGAATAGCAACCTCACAGCCCTGCAAACCAGGCATGGCATCAATGAATCTCAGGAGAAAGCAATGGCTACTGAGCAACATTCCACCTCCCCCAAATAATCCTTCCACCTTTGAAGAAGAAAGAAAAAGACACTGCCAAGGGCTCTAACAGGGATAATGGGTGGGTTTTTTCCTTTACACCAGGTAAAATTACTGTAAAATGTGAGTAGGGGTGATGCTGGGTCCCCCACCTCTGCTTATCAGGCTGAGGCAAGCTGTCATATGCTCTATAAACAGGGGAAAAAGAGAGGGGAACAGCCTTGAGTGTTGCAAGGGAAATTTAGTGGATTGCTCCACTAAATGGGTAGCAAAGACCTTGGTGACTGCTTCTCCTAATCAGTGAGATTTACATTAGATTACAGTTTAGATTTGAATTTAAAGTTATATACCTTTCATTTTACTAGTGGGAGATTACAAAAAGATAAAGAGGCACCCGAGCAGCCCAGTTCTCCCACTGGCCTCGAACATCTCTAGAGGTGGTGGGTATGTACCTTGGGTCTCGTGACATGCAGCTCCTTCACCATCTCAATGTAATGTTTCTTCCAGATTCCTTGCTCAAAGGGGGTTGGAGAGAAGTTGAGGTACCAGCCAAAACGCAGGCATTTCAGCATCCAGAGTTGATCCAGTTCTGACAGATACTTCCAGTACCAGCTCACCTGTGAATGAATGTCCAGTAAGTTGAAAACCTTGGGGTTTCAAGCATCCAAGACTGCAACTAGATGTGGATGTAAATCCCCTACGTCCTTAAACCAGTGCAATTCTTCAGTGCTGTTTATGCTGCATTTAAACCTTTCATTAAACCATTTAAACAATCCAAGGCCCTCATGAAATGCTCAGTGTCTAAGTGTTAGCACAGAATCACAGAATCACAGAATCGCTCGGTTGGAAAAGCCCTCTGAGATCATCCCGTCCAACCGCTCCTGTCTACCCACTAAACCATATCCCTAAGTACCTCATCTACCTGCTCTTTAAACACATCCAGGGATGGTGACTCCACCACCTCCCTGGGCAGCCTGTGCCAGCTTCTGACGACCCTCTCAGTAAAGAACTTCCTCCTTAGCTCTAACCTGAACCTCCCTTGGCACAGCTTGGTGCCGTTTCCCCTTGTTCTATCCCCCATCACCTGGGAGAAGAGCCCAGCACCCACCTCTCTGCAAGCTCCCTTGAGGCAGTTGTAGGTGGTGCTGAGGTCTCCCCTCAGCCTTCTCTTCTCCAGGCTAAACAAGCCCAGTTCCCTCAGCTGCTCCTCATCAGGCTTGTTCTCCAGAGCCCTCCCCATCCTTGTGGCTCTTCTCTGAACACGCTCCAGAATCTCAACATCCTTCTCATAGTGAGGGGCCCAGAACTGAACACAGCACTCGAGGTGCGGCCTCACCAGTGCTGAGTACAGGGTTACAGGGTGAAATATTCCAAAAATCACGGGCCAAAAGGAAATACTTCAGCTTGTCCGGGGCAACTTCCTGCACTTCTACTCAATAACCATACAGTAGTTGGAATAAATCCTTTGTCTCCACTGAGAAGACAGCATCAATAAACTCTCCAAGCCTGATAGACCCGCTCTGATCATTTTCTCCCTACTCATGTTCTGCTGTTACACTCCATCACACACCCATCTTGCATGCGATGCTTGCTCCAGCCTAAAGACAAACATCATCCATCGGCACTGCCATGTTCATAATAGCAGCTGTCCAATGATACGACACAAGTAGCACTGTAAAGACATTTCTTTCTAAGTAAGTCATTTCCCAAGCTGTCTTCTCCCTGCCTGTGAATGAATAGTGCGAGTTGCATCCACATAAAACATGAAATGCTGGAGAAAGATGCTAGAGCAAGGTTTAAACAAGCTGAGATTTTGATATATTCATAGTATTACATAGGAGTACTATGTTATTGTGATAATAATGTCACCAATATCTGAACTTATTCATTCAGAACTACTTTGGCCATCACCTCACAGCACTTTATCTCATGCAAACATATTTTTGGAGTCTCAGCCACTGTGCTCAAAAGCACATCTGTAACTTCCCTGCTTCTCCACATCCAACATTTTACCCTTAAGCATTTTAAAGGATTTGGGTTTTTTAAAGCATCGTGTGCAGTTCTTTGCAACTAGCACAAGCCAATACTTTTCAACGCAATTAATGATTCAGCACACAGAACATGATTTTCAGAAAGTACCAGGCCTCTTTCTTGGGAAGAATCAGTCTTGTAAAGTGCCACATCAAATCATTGAATGGTTTGGGTGGGAAGGGACCTCACAGTCCAAACCCCCATGGGCAGGGACACCTCCACCAGCCCAGGCTGCTCCAAGCCCCGGCCAACCTGGCCTTGGGCACTGCCAGGGAGGGGGCACCCACAGCTCCTCTGGGCAACCTGGGCCAGGGCCTCGCCACCTCACAGAGAAGGATTCCTTCCTAATATCTAATCTAAATCTCCTCTCCTTCATTACCCCTCATCCTTCACTCCCTGCCCTTGTATAAAGTCCCTCACCATCTTTCCTGTACCCTTCAGGTCCTGGAAGGTGCTCTAAGGTCCCTGCAGAGCCTTCTCTTCTCCAGGCTGAACAACCCCAACTCTCTCAGTTGTCTCCATAGCAGAGCTGCTCCAGCCCTCTGACATGTTTAATGCCTTAGAGCTGAGCATCTAAAACTACTCTTCACTTTTTTAAAACTTGGCCAATCTGGCTTCATTTAGGATCTGTGGAAATGTTATATTTGGTCTTATACAAACATCACTAAGCATTTGGCACCAGGTTGCCAAGTCAGAAGACATCCCTGCGTTATGAAGAACACCACTGGCACATCTTTGCTGCAAATCAGTACTGTTTCCTTTTTTCTAACCAGCTTGATGTGACTTTCTGAACTTTACCTATGTGTTGGCCTTTTTACCTGTGCACATCGACAGAGGCTCCGTGGGTCCAGGAAGGAGAAGATGTATAAAGACAGGATTCGAGGAAGCCTCGTGGTAAAATCTAGAGCCTCGACCGGAACTCGATCCTGTAGCTGCTTGGCACAGAATTTCTGCTGTGACAGGGAGCAGCGCTCCAACAGGTCCCCCAGGATCCTCCGCCTCTGACCATCTGTCCACTTGTCAAACTGCAAAAAAAAAAGGAGTCTCAGGTGCTGAGAAACCGGAGATTCAGCTTCTTAAAATAAAGCACACATTTAAGGCAACGGAAAATGCATAAGCAGCAGCTTCTGGTGACTCATTCCAGAGCAAAGCATGTAGGAACTGGGAACAAATGGAGAGGCTACATTAAAAGAAACACTGAAGCCAGGTAATATATGCTTTATAATCCTCAAAGGATCTGGGATGGCCTGGTCTAGGACACACTCATGCTCACAAGACTCTGCTGCTGGGACCAGTTCTGAGACTTGGCTTCACTCATGGAAAGGAGGAGACTCAGATGAGTGTTTACAGGGTCAGGTCCCAAATTACAGTGAGTTCACTGCTGCTTCCTCGTCTATCCCAACACTTATATGGCCCCCACTACTGCAGTCTTTGAGTGCCTCCTGATTTCTAAAGTATTTATTCTCACAATAAGGAGACTATTAGGAGAGATAATAGGCTCTGCATAGGAGAGAAATCCCCACGACAGAGAAGCGGAGCAAAAATAAACTCAGTCAGCTGCCCATGTCTCACCAGGAAAATCTGCGGCACCACAGGAACAACGATCTGTCCCAGCACTTCTGTGCTTATGACAGGTATCTAGAGAGGAGGATTAAAGCGGCTGTGGGAAGAAATGAGCACTTAGGTAACCACACGAGCATGTGTGGCTTTGCTGCAATGGCAACAACAACGCTGCATGGGGCAGAGCTGTGTAAACAGGGTGGGAGCAGCGGTGGTGGCGGCTGGGGTTTGACTTGGGTTGATAGCAGGGGATGGAAAGGGTCCTGTCAGCAG